AGAGCTATGTGGGGAAGTTGATTCCCTCACATGGCCCGCAGCTAAACGATCGGCAAAGAACTTGTCGATCGCAAGTACTTGTTCACGAGGCAGTGGCCACTGCTTCATAACACAGTACTTCGAGCCTGGTTTAAGCTCGACCTCGTGTCGAATACCTTTATCCTTCGGTAACTCGCACGGAACAGTTTCAGGGAATACATCCTTGAATTCAACCAAATCTTCATAGAGAGGATTTTTCTTGAGCGATTCCCATGATTGGGAGTCATATCGCTCAATTCGTGTCTTTTCATCTAGGACACTCTCTTCCATAGATGAACTACTGAGAACTCTCTCGTTCTCAGTAAACACTGTTGCTGACCTTATGTCGGTTACACACTCGTCGTCAGCGACGAGTACGCAGATCTGCTTGACTTTGCCACTACGCAGATCACGCAAGAACCTTTTATGTTCGAGCGTTGGCAACTGAGTGATCTCCGAAGTTAACTTCGGAGGCGCAATCAGATCAAGTGTATAAGCGCCTACACTTGATCCGTTATTGACTATGACATTCAATGTCTCTGTCATTTCCTGGGGACTTATTCCCTCAGGCTTCGAAGGACATATTCCTTCGGCTTCCCGGGGACTTATTCCCGCGGGTTTCGGGGAACTTATTTCCGCCGTATTTGTATTATCGGGACTTATTCCCTTTACTTCCTCTAGCTGGGGTTGCGCAACCACAGCGAGATCCTCTACGAAAGACTCTCCAGTCGATCTAGGATTATCGTTTCGCTTAACCTGAGCGATCGATTGTTTCTCTTCTAGATGTTCCCCGCTAGGGATACATCTTTGTCCCAGTCCACCCGACTTATTCGAGTGGTGGACCTTCGGCGCAGCCTGTGTTTCCTCACAGCCGCCGGAACTTTGCTCCGAAGTGTAACCGTTTGGTACACTAAGGTTTTGTGCAGTCGTACTAACGACCGTACCACAAGTGAGGCCATCGCACTCACTCGTAGTACATCCACACGCTTGTGGACGCTCCAAAACTTCATCAGATGGCCATCTGATGAACAAGCGGCAGGCATCGTTACTGTCCGATGTTGCCAGTTTACCCGTGGTTCGTACCTTCTGAGCCACGGTATTCCAAGGATGACATCAAATTTGTCATCCAAATCCAATACGATAAAGTCATCGTCGTATTGGGTATCTTCTAGCGTATAGTGAATCTTCACTATACGCTTCATGACGGTTACGGATGCGCCTGTCGCAAGACGTACCGTCATCCTCGTAGGAGGTGTGTCACATTCACTGAATTTAAAGTGACCATCTTCTAGCGATTGGCGTCGCACAAAATTGTTGGACGCCCCACAATCGACTAGAGCTCGAAGGGACAACTTATTCGTCACTTCGAGTTTCAAGGTAATGAGTGAGATCTCATTACCTAGAGCAGCAACGCACAATGTCTGTGTGTTGGGAGCAACCTTCATCAAGAGGCCTACAAATTCTCTTGACGTTGCTGGATCAGTAGGGTGCTCCGCACCTGCTGATCCTGTCCGTTTTTTATGGTCCATCCCGTTGTTGCGTCTTTGCACCAGCAGCGGACCCTCGTCCCCGCCCCTTTCTCATGGGCGGACGGTCACTACGCCCAGTATCGCGAGACACTGGACGAGGGGCACTACACTCGTAAGCGTAGTGTCCTGTCTTTTGACATCTGTTGCATCTCTGCAACTTCTTGTAGCCTGTAGAGCGAGCCTTCTCGCTCTCTACATAACAGAGTTCCATCGGCTCTGGACCTCCGTTGTCATATCGTCTCGGTTGACGATATGATGTCGAGCTGGCGCGAGCCTGTCTCAGACTGAAGTCTTCCTGCTCCGCAATGGAAATGGCTTGTTCTAGTGAATCTAGTTCAAGCCGGAACAGGTGAGTCTTGACGGGACCATCCGCAAGACCCTGCATGAACACCGAAACCAACGTGTGTTCATCCACCGGATTGGAACTTATACAACTCGTGAGATGTCGTATATGTTGAGCGTAAGCGTGCACATCACGCTTACCCTGCTTGAGCTTCAAGAGTTCGGTTCGAGCTCTGAACTCAGCTCTAGGCGGTTCAAACGTTTGTCTGAGCCGCGACTTGAAGACTTCCAACGACCCAAACGCATATGGGTCGTGCAGCTTGAGCCCCAGTGCCCAAGTCTTGGCACGTCCTGCCAGATTTGACTGGGCAAATGCAACTTGCATATCCCCGTCGTCGATGCGACGCGCCCTTATAGCGTCATCCAATTCGACGAACCATCTCAAGAGGGAGTCTTCTTCGACCCCCCTATACTTTGAGATGTCAATCTTCAAAGTCTCGGGCCGACGCGAGTGCATCGACCCGCCAGCAGCAGCCTGCTGCTGTCTCAACAGTTCAAACTGTTAAGCACCTTGTTCTCTCAACAACTCTGCTTGTTGAGAACCTTGTTGGTGAAGCAAGGCTACTTTCTCGCGTTCTGCGTCAAGTTCATTTTGAATGAACTTGGCGATAGTAGCATGTTGGGCATCTCTATTGAGAGCCTCTAGCATGACGCTAACAGCATGGATGCCCATGGTCGAACCCATTCGTTCAACCGCATCCCATTCGACATCGCTCAAATGGGAGTAGCCGTCACGCGTAGCGTGAAAGCTTTGGTCATCTTCATCATCCAACATATTCATGTTGGATGTGAACGCGGTCCTTGGACGGACTACGAAGTGCTACCAGGTGTAACGGGGCACCCTGAAGCTTGTACTGGTGACAGTACAAGCTACTTATTCTGATAACAGAATAAGGCGGTGCCTCGTAACTTCACGTACACTCGTACGTGCAGAGGAAGACGGTAAGAAGAAGCGAGTACTCGGTTAGAGTAAAAAGTAGAACTGTATTTATAATAGTTAATGTCTGCAATAAATCACTATTTATCTTCATCTAACTATGTCTAAATACAAATGTGTAAATCAGTTATCTGCTCACCACTCATTGCGTGCGTCTGTCGTGGCGCGTCTTCGTTGGTTGATATAATGGCCTATATCAACCAATTAGGAACTACTTGGAAGTGCTACAGAATATTGTCCTTATGACAATATTCTGAGAATATAACTCTTATAGTTATATTCTATTAACAATTTCTTATAAATTGTTATGTAACGATTCACCCCGTTACAAAAGGAGTACATGTTGGGGTTCCCAGCTAAGGTAGAAATTTTTAAACTTAAACTCGTTAATGTGGTTTATCATAGCTAGTAATCAGTCAACTAATTCAGCTGTATTTTTTTTACATTAAAGACACGTGCATTAAGGCAAGGACTCTTGGCCATTAGTGCCACGTAGTTCCTTTTTTAGGTTGCAAGTGTGGAAAAGTAAGAGAAAATTTAATTTAGTCACTTGCATATTACGCGTACCAGAGGCGTTTCAGATCTCCGCCGGGGGCCTTGTCAGTGGCTATGTCAATTCGCAAGTGATAACAACGAAGATCTCTAGCTATCTAAGATCTAAAAAATTCCATAAAAAAATTAAAAAGCCGTTGGCACAACCCATGTATCCTGGCGTAGGTTGAAGCTCTGACGTCGGTACTGAGTAAAATTTGCACTTCCAACAGTTAGCCCCTTAATTAGGACTAGCAGCTTACGTGCTTGTTTGATACTTAAAGCCAAGTCTCATTAAGAAATTCAAGACTTGATGCCTTTTAAATTTATACCCGTTTTGTTTATGATACTAAGACGCTCAACGAGTCGAGAAACCTTCTTCAAACTAAGACGTTGAACTAGCTCCGCGACAGTGATCGCGACGACGCGGCTGACTCTTCTATGTTGTCAGTGTATCCTGGCGATAGCCGAAGGCAAATGCTGGCTTGATTGCACGTTCGCGAGTTGGTCCATTCATCCCGCTGAATCCTATTTAAACTTGCGCATACTGGAAGTATCGACTGCGATGAACGTTCCTTCCGTTGTGCGTTTGTCGCCTGTTGCCGTCTTTATATTGAGACTGGAAGAGCGCTTTTTGCTTCATCAACGACACGCCCATACGGTTTTGAAGCATTTACGCATGCGACACACGTATCCGCCAATTGTCGCTGGTTCGAGTTGTCACTTGTGCCAAGTGCTCGACTTCAGCTGCTTAAGGGTTGGGTAAAGCTTGTGGATACAAAGTCTGAGAAGACATCAAGTCTGGGTAAGCCTTGTCACATCTCGTTATGGTAAGCAGTGAACGATGATCAGAGCAGCGCTAACAGACGACCAGATGCGAAGCAGTATAAAATTACAAAGTCAATCGAGAAGCGCTGGTAGAATCGAAGCCAGCTTATCACAATCGACTGATCTCTTCCGTGTTTTGCACGTGGTGTCGTGTACACATGCATATAATCGTACTGTCTTCTCGATCGTGTGGGTTGTTAAGACGTCCCATCCTGTCGCTAGATCATGACAATGCGTGTGGCGCACTTTTATATTCTTGATGAATCCTAGGGTAAGCCACAGGTAAGAGCCGGATCAAATCCACGTATGCGAACCAGGTCTTCGCATCCTTTCGAACCCTTTTTTGTTAGCTCAATGCTTGCAGTATGCAGCTGCAACGATGCTTCACTCTTCTGATGGCGTGCGAAAGCCTCCTGACTGACTCGACTACCCGTTTAGACCACGACATTCTTCAGCATTACTGTCAAATCTGTCATTCGCCATTTCGCCGCCTACACCGCACAGCTCGCTACACCAACCAGCACAACACTCCAGCAGGGATGCAGATCAAAGCCTCCCTAGCCATCTGCATGGCTACTGTCGCCTCCGCTTCTGCTTACGATCCACGCCCTGTGATCAATACATCTTCCGGCCAGCCTGGCAGTCAGCCCGCCCGTTTCTGTAGCGCGTCTAATGTTCCATGCGGCGAAAAAAACCTCTTCGTATCCGATTTTTGCACCTTCGCCCAACAACTAGGCAACACAGGGTCTTTTGAAGACTGCTGCAGACAGAATTGCCCGCGTAAATGCAGCACGATCAATGTTCCGTGCAACGAAATGGACCCAGACGCCTCCTCGGTTTGCAACGCGTCTCGAGATCTAAGGGTCGGGTTTAAGAGCTGCTGCTTGCACCAATGCGCGAGCGCTGTGATTCCGATCGGCTACAAGTGCAGTGACGCCAACGTTGCATGTGGCCCACGCAACGAAGACGCGTCTCGGAGCTGCAACAGTCTACCCACATCGCTTGGCGACTTTCAAGCGTGCTGCATGAAGAATTGCTAGCGCCACGATAAGCACTGAACTTTCCCAGTTCAGGTGATGCGGGCACGAGAGCATCTTGGCTAGCTTTGGACGCTGCGCGAGCCCGTGGGGTGCTGACCAACCATAAGGGAGTAGCAAAAGGCGATAACTGAGTTGAAATACACAGGATTTAGCATTGTTTAGTCCACCTCCTTGTGTTCCATTGTGTTTCGCTGTGCATGCACTGTTTAGAATGGTCGCACACTGTCGTGACAGTAGCTACGTCGTTAAGCTAAGCGCGGATTTGGAAAGAAACGATCACGAGGAGGTGCACAATGGCCGGACGCCATCATATTGCTAAACGCTGTTTCAGCTCCAGTCAAAGTTGCGTGTGACTCGTCTCGAACAATGGATCACCGACCGTGCCATCGTTAGCACTTGATTACGTTGTGTCATTTTAATCCGTTCTCAGTCCTTCGATGCTACTTGTGTGCGACCTGTACTGTAACGGGGTGAATCGTTACATAACAATTTATAAGAAATTGTTAATAGAATATAACTATAAGAGTTATATTCTCAGAATATTGTCATAAGGACAAAGATTCTGTAGCACTTACGAGTAGTTCCTAATTGGTTGATATAGGCCATTATATCAACCAACGAAGACGCGCCACGACAGACGCACGCAATGAGTGGTGAGCAGATAACTGATTTACACATTTGTATTCAGACATAGCTAGATGAGGATAAACAGTGGTTTATTTACAGACATGAACTATTATAAATACAGTTCTACTTTTTACTCTAACCAAGTACTCGCTTCTTCTTACCGTCTTCCTCTGCACGTACCAGTGTACGTGAAGTTACGAGGCACCGCCTTATTCTGTCATCAGAATAAGTAGCTTGTACTGTCACCAGTACAAGCTTCAGGGTGCCCCGTTACACCTGGTAGCACTTCGTAGTCCGTCCAAGGACCACGTTCACATCTAACATGAATATGTTGGATGATGAAGATGACCAAAGCTTTCACGCTACGCGTGACGGCTACTCCCATTTGAGCGATGTCGAATGGGATGTGGTTGAACGAATGGGTTCGACCATGGGCATCCATGCTGTTAGCGTCATGCTAGAGGCTCTCAATAGAGATGCCCAACATGCTACTATCGCCAAGTTCATTCAAAATGAACTTGACGCTGAACGCGATAAAGTAGCCTTGCTTCACCAACAAGGTTCTCAACAAGCAGAGTTGTTGAGAGAACAGGGTGCTCAACAGTTTGAACTGTTGAGACAGCAGCAGGCTGCTGCTGGTGGGTCGATGCACTCGCGTCGACCCGAGACTTTGAAGATTGACATCTCCAAGTATAGGGGGGTCGAAGAGGACTCCCTCTTGAGATGGTTCGTCGAATTGGATGACGCCATAAGGGCGCGTCGCATCGACGACGGGGATATGCACGTTGCATTTGCCCAGTCAAATCTGGCAGGACGTGCCAAGACTTGGGCACTGGGGCTCAAGTTGCACGACCCATATGCGTTTGGGTCGTTAGAAGTCTTCAAGTCGCGGCTCAGACAAACGTTTGAACCGCCTAGAGCTGAGTTCAGAGCTCGAACTGAGCTCTTGAAGCTCAAACAGGGTTAGCGTGATGTGCACGCTTACGCGAAACATATACGACATCTCACGAGTTGTATAAGTTCCAATCCGGTGGATGAACACACGTTGGTTTCGGTGTTCATGCAGGGTCTTGCGGATGGTCCCGTCAAGACTCACCTGTTCCGGCTTGAACTAGATTCACTAGAACAAGCCATTTCCATTGCGGAACAGGAAGACTTCAGTCCGAGACAGGCTCGCGCCAGCTCGACATCATATCGTCAACCGAGACGATATGACAGCGGAGGTCCAGAGCCGATGGAACTCTGTTATGTAGAGAGCGAGAAGGCTCGCTCTACAGGCTACAAGAAGTTGCAGAGATGAAACAGATGTCAGGAAACAGGACACTACGCTTACGAGTGTAGTGCCCCTCGTCCAGTGTCTCGCGATACTGGGCGTAGTGACCGTCCACCCATGAGAAAGGGGCGGGGACGAGGGTCCGCTGCTGGTGCAAAGACGCAACAACGGGATGGACCATAAAAAACGGACAGGATCAGCAGGTGCGGAGCACCCTACTGGTCCAGCAACGTCAAGAGAATTTGTAGGCCTCTTGATGAAGGTTTCTCCCAACACACAAACGTTGTGCGTTGCTGCTCTAGGTAATGAGATCTCACTCATTACCTTGAAACTCGAAGTGACGAATAAATTGTCCCTTCGAGCTCTAGTCGATTGTGGGGCGTCCAACAATTTTGTGTGACGCCAATCGCTAGAAGATGGTCACTTTAAGTTCAGTGAATGTGACACACCTCCTACGAGGATGACGGTACGTCTTGCGACAGGCGCATCCGTAACCGTCATAAAGCGTATAGTGAAGATCCACTATACGCTAGAAGATACCCAATATGATGATGACTTTATCGTATTGGATTTAGATGACAAATTTGATGTCATCCTTGGAATACCGTGGCTCAGAAGGTACGAACCACGGGTAAACTGGCAGCATTAAACAGTAACGATGCCTGCCGCTTGTTCATCAGATGGCCATCTGATGAAGTTTTGGAGCGTCCACAAGCGTGTGGATGTACTACGAGTGAGTGCGATGGCCTCACTTGTGGTACGGTCGTTAGTACGACTGCACAAAACCTTAGTGTACCAAACGGTTACACTTCGGAGCAAAGTTCCGGCGGCTGTGAGGAAACACAGGCTGCGCCGAAGGTCCACCACTCGAATAAGTCGGGTGGACTGGGACAAAGATGTATCCCTAGCGGGGAACATCTAGAAGAGAAACAATCGATCGCTCAGGTTAAGCGAAACGATAATCCTAGATCGACTGGAGAGTCTTTCGTAGAGGATCTCGCTGTGGTTGCGCAACCCCAGCTAGAGGAAGTAAAGGGAATAAGTCCCGATAATACAAATACGGCGGAAATAAGTTCCCCGAAACCCGCGGGAATAAGTCCCCGGGAAGCCGAAGGAATATGTCCTTCGAAGCCTGAGGGAATAAGTCCCCAGGAAATGACAGAGACATTGAATGTCATAGTCAATAACGGATCAAGTGTAGGCGCTTATACACTTGATCTGATTGCGCCTCCGAAGTTAACTTCGGAGATCACTCAGTTGCCAACGCTCGAACATAAAAGGTTCTTGCGTGATCTGCGTAGTGGCAAAGTCAAGCAGATCTGCGTACTCGTCGCTGACGACGAGTGTGTAACCGACATAAGGTCAGCAACAGTGTTTACTGAGAACGAGAGAGTTCTCAGTAGTTCATCTATGGAAGAGAGTGTCCTAGATGAAAAGACACGAATTGAGCGATATGACTCCCAATCATGGGAATCGCTCAAGAAAAATCCTCTCTATGAAGATTTGGTTGAATTCAAGGATGTATTCCCTGAAACTGTTCCGTGCGAGTTACCGAAGGATAAAGGTATTCGACACGAGGTCGAGCTTAAACCAGGCTCGAAGTACTGTGTTATGAAGCAGTGGCCACTGCCTCGTGAACAAGTACTTGCGATCGACAAGTTCTTTGCCGATCGTTTAGCTGCGGGCCATGTGAGGGAATCAACTTCCCCACATAGCTCTCCGACCTTCTGTGTGCGAAAAGCAACAGGAGGGTGGCGGATAGAGCACGCGTTCAACAAATTGAACGCTGCAACGGTACCGGCTCAGACGCCGATACCGAGGAAGGACGTAATCATTGATGGTATGTCAAAGAGTACCATCTTTTCGTCCATGGATTTGATGGATGGCTTCTATCAAATCCTTATGCGGGAACGGGATATACCCTATACCGCAGTTAGCACGCCTAGCGGCATGCTCTGGGAATGGCTAGTAATGCCACAAGGGCTCAGTAATGCCCCTGCCACGTTCAACAGATGTGTATCACATCTGTTGAGACCAGTACGAGAATTCGCGCCGAGTTATTTCGATGACGTATTCATCCATAGTCGAGCTATGGATGGAAAGTCGGACGTTTAGGTTCACAGGTACCACGTCCGACAAGTTCTTACAATCATGCGAAAGCATCAATTGTATGCTAACCTCAAGAAGTGCACATTTGCAGCAAGCGAAATACCACTTCTTGGGTGCATCGTTGGTAAGAACGGTGTACGTCCTGATCCCGAAAAGATCAAGGCGATCACCGACTGTCCTGTGCCAGTTGATGTCAAAGGTCTTCGAAAATTCCTCGGGCTAGCGGCGTATTTGCACGATATTCACGCAATTACGCCGAGATGACTGTACACCTCTCTCGTTTGTTGAAAAAGAACGAGAGGTGGTTATGGAACGCTGAATGTCAACGCTCCTTTGAGGGTATCAAGCAGAGCTTGATACAATCCCCAGTCCTAGCAATAGCCGATCAGGACAGGCCATTTCATGTGGTCTGTGATGCCAGCGATTTCGCAATGGGCTGTGCATTAATGCAGTACGATCTTGAAGGCGTCGAACGCGTCGTCTGCTATCACTCGCGTCAGCTGCAACCATCTGAGCGGAACTATCCAGTGCATGACAAGGAACTCCTTGCGATGAAGTATGCACTCGCGAAGTTCAGAGTCTATCTATTAGGAGATAGACCCTTCGTTGTTTACACTGACCATGCGTCATTACGCACGGCGGTGAACAGCCCGCACCTTTCACAACGAATGGCGCGGTGGTTGTCATTCTTTGCGGAATACAACTTTACGGTCGAGTACAAACCAGGACGACTTAATGTCGTCGCTGATGCACTCTCACGTCGTCCCGACTTTGAAACAGTCGCGAAACCCAGCAGTGAGACAGTCACTGTTGCGGTTATGACGTCCTCAGTCCCATCTACAACGTTGTATGATGATGTGAGGCGGGCATACGCCCAAGATGGTGAGATTGTGAAGTTGTTGACACATCTCTCCCAACCATCCCGAGAATCGTTGAAACGATTGTCGCCTGCGTATCGATCTGCATCAGATCGATACACTACTCGTAACGGTTTACTATATTATACAGCCGTTTCTGGTGACACACCACGTGTTGTCATTCCAGATGATACTGATCTGCGTTTGCGGATCATGTTCGAGTATCACGATGCTCCTATAGGAGGACATCGTGGCCGAGAGAAAACATATCTCACGGTAAGTCGAGACTTTTACTGGCCCCGCCAGTATCAGTTTGTGCGAAAGTATGTTCGCGCATGCGAAGTCTGTCAACGAGTGAAGTCAAGTCCTTCACTGCGTGCACCTTTACAGCCTCTACCGGTTCCGGCTGAGTGCTGGGAATCCATCTCAATGGATTTCGTCTTCGGGTTACCCAAAGACGCACGCGGGAATACGGGTATTCTCGTATTTGTTGACAGATTCAGCAAAATGGTACACCTTATGGCTGTACCTGAGTCAATCACGGCAAGTGGCTGTGCTTGTGTCTTTATTGACACCATCTTCCGACTTCATGGGTTGCTCCCTGAACTCGTATCAGACAGAGATCCACGATTCACTGCTGATTTCTGGCGTTCCGTGTTCAAATCACTCGGAACGCGCTTGAAGATGTCGACATCTGATCATCCAGAGTCAGATGGTCAGACGGAACGTGCCAATCGTGTCCTTGAAGAGATACTTCGAGGATACGTACACTCCTTTAAGAGTTGGAGTGAGTTTTTGCCAATGGTAGAGTTTGCCATCAACAACTCGGTGCATGCGTCCACGACACATACACCGTTTTACGTGAATGGCTTGCGCCATCCGCGTGTACCCACCTTACTAGAGTGTAACTCTGGTTTAAGGGGGGAGGGACTCGCGCGGGCAAAAACCGAATTGGTTCACGCTCATCACGCTCTGACGAAGAAGTCATTGCGTTTGATGCCGATATCGATAACATCGATATCGAAGAAGATGATGCCAGTGAGAGTGCGGAAGCCCTCACTGAAGAAGATGATCCCAGTGAGAGTGCGGAAGCCCTCACTGAAGAAAAGGTTGATGTTGCTGCAGTGCGCTCACAGCACACTGAAGCTAACGAGTCATCAGATGAGTTCATACTGGCTCGTGAAACGGTAGTCCGTTTTGTGCAAGACTCCATCGCCAAAGCGGTGGATAAGCAAAAGCAAAACGCAGACAAGAATGGAAGGGCAAACACTATTTTATTTAATAAAGGTGACTTAGTACTACTGTCTGCGGATAACCTACCAAAGCATGTAGTGACTAACTTGGGTAGCAGTAAACTTCTACCCAAGTACATTGGCCCATTTCGTGTATTGCACCGCCTAGGCAATGCATACACGATCGAGTTACCACGTAAGATACGAACGCATCACACGTTTTAAGTTGGTCGGCTTAAGCCGTACCATCAGTACGCTGCTTCTTCCGATGAAGAACGCCCTTGCGCTCAAGCATCTCGCAGAGAGCCTTGTGCTCCCGATGGTGGGCATCAACAAGGGTCTGAAGAGCAGTTATCTCATCCCGAGACCGATCAACAATCCCACGAGCTACCCTTAGCTCGCCACAAAGAGATGTCAGAGATCTCTCGTTCTCAAGCTGAGCAAAGGCAAACTCAGCTCGATGCTTCAAGACAGTGTCCGCCATTTGGAGACGCCTATTCCGCTCATGTTCGAGATCGTTGCGTAACCCTTGCGTTACGCGATCAAAGAAGCTCTCGGGAACACACCGATCCCCACGATAGTTTGGAGAGCGTCTTTCCTCCTCCTCCTCCTCCACCTGCATTAGAGGACTCTCGCGGTGGCCAGCGCTATCTACTTGAGCAGCTGTTGAACCACCGCGACGTGAACGGACGTCGGACGAGTCATCTCGTCCGGTGGCGCGGCTATCCCCCGTCGTGGGATTCTTGGGAGCCCCGCTCCCAGCTGATGGTTGACGTACTGGGTCTGTACGAGCAGTACGATGCGGCGCATCCTGTGCCGCAGAAGGACCGCCGGAGAAAGTCTTCCCGGCACGGTCGTAAAGGGATTTCAGGTTGTCAATCCCTTCGTACATCTCAGTAGAGACACGTACGCGCCACCACGGGCTGGTAAGGAGGTAAGCCTCCTTAGGTGCTCGTGCAGAGTTGTTCACACAACATGGGCACGAGTCTCCCCATGAGAGGCAGGGTAATCCCTTTTCCCTTGACAGACGATGCAGCTTATAGCGTGCACTTGTCGGGGTTCGCTTTTCAAACTTATCACGAGCTTTGATAAGTTTGTCGTTCCAAGCGTCACGACCTACATCCTCAAGGTTATGGATGTAGGCGTTCCACTCTTGAAGTAGTGAGGGACCATCACGCTTGTGATTCCCACTGTACCATCGATGTCTGAAGAAAGCATCGATGAAGAATTCATGTTCAGCGCGATAGTTTTTCGCGCTGGGGTCAAGGTGATGGATCCTTGACGAATCGAACAATCGTGTTCGATAACGATCACTCGTCGTCGCCGACAAGTGATCCATGACGGATTTGGGAGGCATCCATGCCTTCTTCTCAGGAGCGAGACGCAACACATTGCGGTCCCGCTCTTCCTGCGACGTGCCGACAGAAGTACTGGCACCTCGCTGTGAAGTGGTGTCCATAAGAGAACCGAAAACACTATTAGCGCCCGAGTCTCGCGACCTCGAGCGCCTTCGCTTCGGCGATGGTTCATCTGATTCATCAGATGAACCAAAGATGCTACGACGCATAGCATCATCCATGCCACGCTTGGCAGGCGGTTTGGATTCAATCGCCGTCGATACGGATCCGTCTTCCGTATCAGGAGAGTACGAGACACCGAGCTCATACTCTGTGAAGACATGAGTGTCTTCATGACCAGCGCCTGCATCACCAAGTGACACAGGCTGGGTCACTTCAGCAACCGATGAGACATCAGTTGCTGTGGTTTCTGCTTCGGCGTCCGCACAGAGACGTGCAGACGCGCTCTCGGCGGCCTTGCTCGCGCATCGCATGGGCTTGTTTACCATGCGATGAGATGTTGGAAAGTGGACGCGGACCGACAAGTGCAAACCCTGTCCCAAATGATTTGGGACGAGTATCCATTTAGTCAATCAGTCACTAAAGTGACTGATGGTTAAGGGGGGGGTGATGTAACGGGGTGAATCGTTACATAACAATTTATAAGAAATTGTTAATAGAATATAACTATAAGAGTTATATTCTCAGAATATTGTCATAAGGACAATATTCTGTAGCACTTCCAAGTAGTTCCTAATTGGTTGATATAGGCCATTATATCAACCAACGAAGACGCGCCACGACAGACGCACGCAATGAGTGGTGAGCAGATAACTGATTTACACATTTGTATTTAGACATAGCTAGATGAGGATAAACAGTGGTTTATTGCAGACATTAACTATTATAAATACAGTTCTACTTTTTACTCTAACCAAGTACTCGCTTCTTCTTACCGTCTTCCTCTGCACGTACCAGTGTACGTGAAGTTACGAGGCACCGCCTTATTCTGTCATCAGAATAAGTAGCTTGTACTGTCACCAGTACAAGCTTCAGGGTGCCCCGTTACATGTACCCTATAAGCCCATATCAACATGACTGTAAATCTCACTACTGGACGTTTGACTCAGCTGCGTTTCTCGAACAATGTCCTCGTAACAATTTGTACTTCATGTTAATGCGCTGATAGGATTCAAAACATCAATACGTACATTGGTCGTCTAGGGCTCCCCCCCCTCTTCACACCTCGGCATGATACCGCCGTGTTGCGTTACTTCTTCATTGTTTGACGGCATTAGGTAGCTTAAACATATCAAACCCTGCACGATCGTTCTTCCCACACGTAATCAGCTCCATCTTCTCCTTGTTTTTCGAGATGACGTTGTGCGTCAAGGCATATTGGTCCCGCAAACCTTCTGCTGCAGGCACCAGGTTCACTTGCCACTTGAAGTAAACTTTGACCACCGCTTCCAGTGCGTCTGCCGCAACTTGGCTCCCCGTGTGACTCTGTTTTGTCCACTTTGGCCTCCATGCTCTTCACCTCGTCCCCGTCTTTGCTGCCCTTGGACGATGTGACGGTCGTCGTCGTGCTCGACTCGGAGCCCGCTTTCCTGCTCAGTTTCTCTACGATAGGAGCTCGCAATGTACAGTAGCTGGCAAGCAACTCCCACATCATTTGCTACATCCGTGCGACTTTTCCGAGTGCACACAGGCGTATTCCTGCACCTCGACGCCAAAGTTCTTGTCGCCTTTGACTCTGAGCACCTGAAGCTGAATCCAGAGCTGCACGAGATTGCGCAGCCCCTGAGTACACTACTTTCAGATCTGCAGTGTACTCGGAACCGCGCAATCTCGTCGCCCACGCCAGTCACAAGCGCCTGCATGTCGCTGTTCAAGGCTACGACAGAAGACACGACCAGCACGGTCCGGGCAAACGTGCTGCACTCGCTCTTCGAGGTGGCAATATTAACAACAGGCTCACATCGGTAACCTGGTCAAGCAATGACGACCTGCTGTACATGGGCAAGGATGGACACACGAGGGCTACATTTGATGGCGGCTGCGTGTGCCGCATGGCCAACTACTTGCAATCTTAAACCCTGATTCTTAATAGAGTCGTCCGGAAGGTCTGCACTCCTTCTTTTGCACAGACAAGGGCTGACGCGTCAAGAACGTCGCTGTTTGGATTGGCCTCCAGTCTTTTCAATTACTCCGCTATGTGGCAGTTGCAGAGGCATGACAAGTGTTTGTTGTGCTAGAGTGTCATCGAGGATTACATCGGGTTTGTCATTCGGATGTGCTATTATTGTTTTCATACCTGTCGACTGCATTTCTCTCCAGCGTCTCACTTCTATGGGAAGTGTAGCGGGATAAGCCTGTTACTTGTAATAAACCCTTGATACTTGTTAATCAGAATAATATAATCAAAGATTGATAATGTTCGTGAATATGTCCCTAAGGCGTAATATTCAGAAACATCCACCGATTGGCTGATATGGGTTATCATGTCAGCCAGCTCTTAGCGGTCCAACCAACGATGGCCGCGCGCAATGAGTGGTGAGCAAGACTTTGGCATGCATTTTTGAGGACAATTTGCATAACAAAGTTTGGACTAAGACACAGGTCGGAGTTGAACTGTATTGTATTAACTACTGTTTTACCTTTACCAGCAACTAGTCAGTTCCTAGTTGCTTTCCCTTCCTCTGCCTAATTACATAGGCATCGAGGCACCACATACGTTGCTTTAAGTGATAGTAGCTTCACACTGGTTGTCCAGTGTGTTGCTCTGGTGCCCCAATACACCTGGTAGCAATTTGTAGTCCGTCCAAGGACCACAAACCTGTTCAACAGGAACATGTTGGACGATAAATGCGATACCACATTTCACCGCACCCGTGAAAGGCACTCCTATTTGAGTGATGTAAAATAGAGTGCGGTCGAATGAATGAGTTCGACGGTTGGCGAAGAAGCTGTTCGATCTCTGCTATCCTTAAGAGGTAGGGACGAGCAGCATGTCGTATTGCCAAGTTCTTTCTATGAGGACTTGACCCGTCGCAAGCTGAGGTGAACCAGCTTCATCAACAGGGCAATTAGCAGACGAATCTCCTGAGAAAGCAGCAGTATCAGTCTGCTACTGCAGCGTCGAAGTGTGAGCGGCGACGCAAAACTCTAAATTTCAAAGTCTCCAAGTACAAGGAAATCGAGGAAAACTTCCTGTTGAGACGGGTTCTCGAAGTGGACGATGACACTAAGGCTTGCCACGTGAGGAATTGCAAGCTGCATTTGCCCAATTGAATTTTTCAGGCGTACCATAAATTGGTCTTTGACCCTTCAAGTACATATCCCAAACATGTTTGGATCATTGACGGTCTCTTAGACTCTGCTTAGCGGAACGTTTAGGCTGCCAAGTGCTGAGTTCAGGACTCTTTCAAAGCTCTTAGAGATAAAACAAGGTAAGCGTGACGTTCGCGCTTAAGCTCAGAAGGTTCGTTACCTTGCAAGCTGCATGGTAGCTAACCACTGAAGTGAATTCGTGTTGATCTCTAAATAATGACAAGTACTTACAAATGTTCCCGTGAAGAGCCACCTGTTTCGCATCGAGTTGAAGCCGCTAAAGAAACAGACTACATCTGCGGTGCAAGAGGCCTTTTGTGTGCGACAGGCTCACACTATCTTAGCCACTATCGTTCTTCGAGACCAGAATAACCAAAAGTTCCGGATTCAACGGACCTCTGCATTCTTACAGTAAGAGTCCTCGCTTTTTATTTAGAGAGAAATTGCAAAATTGAAATTCGCTATCAAATGTTGGGGCACTGCGCCTACGAGTTTAGTGCTTCACGCCCAGCGTCCCAACATACTGAGCGAAGTGATCGACTGTCTTCAAAAATGGGCAACGGACACGGGTACGCTGTTGCAAAGTCACAACAGCGTGGTAGAACGTCAAAAAATAGTAGAAAATAGTAGGGGCGGAGTGCCCTAATTATCCAGCAACCTCAAAATGATTTGCATCTCTTTTGATCTAAGCTGCATCAGACTTACAATTCTCGTGTGTCTCTACACTTGGTGATGAGGGTTACCTCATCACCTTGAGCTTGGAAGTGAAAAACGAAATTTCGCTTAGTGCCTTGGCTGACTGTGGTGTGTCAAAAAAAATGTGTCGCTAGTTGCTAGAGGATCGTAGGCTTAAGTTCATTGAGAGAATATTCCTCCTGCGAAGATGAAGGTGGGCCTTGCAGCAGACGGATCGACAGCATTGATGGAACGTGCAAACGAATTTTACTACCCGCTAAAAGATCGCAGTACATTGATGATTTTATCGTACTTGATTTGGATGACAAGTTTGATGTCATCCTAGGGTTATCTGTCTTCAAAGGCTCGAGCCAAGCCTCAGCTGGCAGCATCGAATCGGGATAATACATGCCACATGTTCATTAGATGGACATCTGATGATCGTCTCGGATCGTCCATAAGCGCGTTTACGTACTGCGAGAGAGTGTGGCGGCCTCACTTGTGGTACGGGCGTTAGTTTGACTGCACAAGATCAAAGTGTGACAACCAATCACGCTTTGGATATAACTGCCGGTAGCTGTGCGGATGCACAGGCATAACCGAAGGTTCACCACTCGAACGAGTCGATTGGATCGGGATATGGGTGTACGCCTAGCTATATACATCCGAGAAAGAATAAACCAGTTGCCCACACAGAATAACAGGATGAAATCAAAGCATTTGGAGAGTTGATCGTAGAGGACCTAGCTGTTGTAGCGCAACCACATCTAGAAGACGGCGAGTGAGTAATTCTCCACGTATTTGATGGAACAAATCCTCAAGTATGTATCAATAAGGTAACAAGGACTCATCAGCCTGAGTAAAGAAGTCCCCAGCAGCCTGGGGAAAAGGGTCCCCAGAAAGAGAACAAGACACTGAATGTCTTGGTTAATGAAGGGCCAAGTATAGGCGCTCATACACTTGATCTGATCGCGCCTCCGAAGTTGAACTCGGAAACCACATAATTGCCAACGCTAAACCCGAACAAGTTCTGGTGCGATCTGCGTACTTGCAACGTCAAGCAGGTCTGTGTAATCGTCACAGAGGTCAAGTACGTGATCGCCATATGGTCGGCAGTAGTATTTGCCGATAAAGATCGAGTGCTCATCAGCTCATCAATGGACAAAATTGTCACCGATGAGAAGACTCGGATTGAGCGATACACGTCTTAATTTTGGTAGGTGCTTCAAGCAAACTCTTTATACAAGAATTTGATCTAGTTTTATGGATACGTTCCCTGAAATCGTACAACGCGATTTGCCTAAGGACAATGACACTCGACACGGGATCGAGCTTAAACCGGGCTCGAAGTTCTGTGTTGTGAAGCAGTGGCTAATGCCTCTTGAACAAGTAACAGCGATACATCAATTCTTTGCCGATAAATTTGCAGAGGGATGTGTTAGGAAACAAAGTTCCCCTTACAGCTCTTCGACCCTCTGTGTGCGAAAGGCCACAGGAGGGTGGCGGACAGTGCACGCATTCGACCAGTTGAAATTCCCGCAACGATACCGACTCAGACGCCGATACCGAGGAAGGCCGTAATCGTTGCTGATATGGCAAAAAGTACCATCTTCTTGTCCATGGATGGGTGTTATCAGATCCTCATGCGTGAACGAGACATCCAATACACAGCAATGAGCACCCCCAGTGGTATTATCTGGTAGTGACTAGTGATGCCAAAGAGGCTAAGTAACGCCTCAAAAACGTTCAACAGTTGTGTTACAAATCGGTTGTATCAGTGCGAGACGTCGTACCGAGTGACATCGACGATATCTTCGTCCGTTGCTGGGCTATGGGTGTAAATACGGGCGTGGATTTCCATAGAATTTACTTCCGGAAGTTTCTAACTTTAATGCGCAAGCATAAGATGTATGCCAGTCTCAAGAAGTGCACATTCACGGCTAGCAAAATACCATGTCCTGGGTGCATCGTGCGTAAACATGGAGTGCGCCTTAATCCCAAAATTATAATGGCGATCACCCACTGGCCTGTGCCATCCAAAGCCAAGGAAATTTTAGGCTCCTTGTTCTAGCGGCACACTCACATAAGTACTTGCGCAATGACCGTTGATCTCTCTCGTCTTTTGAGGAAAAACAAGAGGTGGTCATGAGACGCCTTTTTTTAAGACTTTAAGGTATCATGCAGAGCTCAATACAGTTATCCATATTTGCAACTGCAAACCAAGACAGACCATTACATAAGGTCTGAGACACCATAAATTTCTCAATCGGCTACGCATTATTTCAGAACGATTAAGATGGAGAAGAGATCTTCGTTTGCTGTAGGTAGCGTCAGCTGCAACCAGACGAGCGTAATTATCCGGTGCATGACAAAATTCCTTGCCATATGCACGACTGGAAAAGTTGCGCGTCTATCACGTAGGATATCGGCCAGTTGTAGTGAATACGGACCATGCATCATTTCGCACGGCCGTAAACAGTCCACAAATTTAGCTAAGGATGGCTAGGTGGCTATACTTCTACACGGAGTACAATTTTTTTGTGATGTACAAACCCAGACGACTTGATGTCTTCGCGGACGCGTTTTTTCACCGCCTCGATTTTGATTCAACCGCGCAGTTCATCAGTGGTAGTGACACCTCTGTTACAACACTAGACACTTGTGTTTCGTCTTCAACATTACTTGACGACATTAAAAAGGCCTACGCAGAAGATAAGGATGCAAAACTGGATCATCGTGTGACTCCATCTCGTAAATCACTTAAGGACTCACCGGCCTTGCATCGATCCTCTGCGGATCGATAAGCAATACGCGACGGTTAATAAATTGTACAACAACCCGTCGCCTGAGACACACCTCGTGTCGTTCTCCCCACTCATAATGTTTTGCGCTCGCGCATCTTGTAAGAATTCCATGATGCATCACCTAGTGGTCATCCTGGGCGTAAGAAGACTTATCTCAAGGTAATTTACGACTTATAC